GTAAAGTAGTGTGTGTGTGTGTGTGTATATATATATATATATATATATATATATATCAAAGCATTTTTCTGTCCATGAATTGGATTCTTATAATTAATAGAAAGAACAGAATTCACTGTTAGTCTCTCCAGGGTAAGGAGATGTAAGTAACAGATTATTTTTCAAATGACAAGCATTTTTCTGTTGGTGTTCGTTGTGGATATCATTTTCCCCAGTGAGTAAACTGTACTGGCCTAATGCGGCAGTAAGGAAGAAGGCCAGGGTGCCTTTCGCATGTGAGGAGTTTAAGAACTGTTGTATGTTGCAAATAGGAAGTATAATACACAGTAGTGTTCATGAGAATTCGAAAACACTTACTGCTTAGCACTGAAGAACTAGGTGAACTGCTCAGCAATACTGATGCTAATCGTCTGGGATTATTATTATTATCTATTATAAATCCAATTATATACTTAGTAAATTTTTTCATTAATTATAAACCTAATAATATATTTTTGTATAAATTAAATTTCATATATGAACCTACAGTTGTCTGGGGAAAGACTAGGTAGAACATAGCTTATGGGGGCAAAACTGAGAGATGTATTTTCTTTAACATCACATATTAGATGCAGGATGATTTTAGAGGCTTTTTTCAGGAAAAAGTGTGCCTTATATGCCACAAAATACAGTAGTTGGGATTAACTGCAAGTATTTCCTTACAGCAAGGTTTTACAAGACTCATCTTCTGTTTATTATATCACAATATTATTTCGTTGCTAAAAAGTTAACAAAATAGAATATAACCTGAAAAAAAATAATAAAACTAGTCTCTTAAATAAGTGCAAATGTTGTTACAAACTAATAAACAATTTCACAAATAGCCATTTCAACTGTTTGTGTGTTGTAATAGTTCAAGTGATTGGCCCAAAGAATGTTTGCATCATTCTAAGTTCATGCTTGCAACCCAACTTTAAAAATAATTAAAAAACAGAATTGTAATCCTCTTTCAAGAATTTTTTAATGAAATATATATTAAAATTGACATTTTAGCATTACAAAATGCTTATTTAACCATAAGTAAGTATTAAAAATGTAGTTTCATTTCTGTCATGTTTCTAGATGTATAACCTATGAAACTGGCATTTCTATATTTTTCTTTATAATTTTTTTTGCTAGCTTCTAAGCTTTAGTTATTCCTCCCAATCAAATTTCAACCCTTGTTCATGGATGATCAAAATTTTTTTACACGCATCTTTCAATTTGTGTCAGTAAATAAAATAATAAAAAACTGTATGTTGTGTCAATTTTTTCATAGAGTGCTTTCCATACTATAAATATATTTGTGTATTACCACGACCTCTGGATTAAGAGCTTTAATACCCTGTAACGTAGAACACAAGAGCATGTGAAAAATATTTACGCATTAGAAAAAGGTGAAATTTAGCAGTGACACCAAACAATGCACAATTTTATTTAAATGATCTCCAACTAACTAAAAGTATTGAGAATTTGTTTGTACTTTCTGATGTTTTCTCTTTCCTAATAATGTTTTGCATTTATATTATATATTTATACTTGTATTTATATTATATATAGTTGGATAACATGACAAAGGTGAATTCATTTAGCACTGGCTGGAACTTACAGCTGCAAATCAAATTCTTGAACTAGCAAAATAAAATAAAATACTAATCTAAAATCTTTTTCAGGCAGAAATTAGATGATATTAATAAAATTTGTGTCAAGTTTTGTACATCTTGGTTAAATACATTCATTTTTAAAATTTAAAATTTAGTGCATCCTATTGATATTGAAATAGTTAGAGCAAAGGGCTATAAAGAGCTAATATCAAATTGTTTAAACAGATACATCTAACTTTTTTTAACTTGTTCATTATTCAACTGGACACTCCCTCTCAACCCCCCCCCCCATTAATGTAGTTGTAGTTTAAACTCTAGTTTCCGCGTATGAAAAAAATGTAGTAAATGATTCCTACTGAGCTTCAAATATCTAATCAGAAATCATTCTAAAATACAATTTAAAATAATAATAAGAAACAAAGAATATTAGCAATTTCAACATGTCCAGCACAGAATAATACCAAATATTTCAAGGCCAGTAATCATGTTTCAAATCAAAAGTTATGTATAACATCCTCAAGATGAATATAATCCATATTTTTTTGACAAAATTAGTCCGTGTTTTATTAACATTAATTTGTTAAAACTAAATAATTTATATCCAACCATGATTTTTACAATTTTGAATTACATACAAATAAATACTTTAATATCAGCACAATATAACTGACAATCTCTCTTAATTACAATTACTGACTAGTCAACATCTTTTAAAAAAAAAATAATTAAGGCAACATTGTTTCTTGCCCCAATACAAATCTTTATATCACTGTAAAAACAAAATTTAAATATACAGTGAATGCCTCTTAGTAGCCTACAAACATAAAATTAATGCAAAATGATTAGGTATAAAAGCAAGTTTTAAAATATTTTATTTTCACCTGCAAGTCATGTACAAAACACTAAGCCAAGCCTGAACCACCCGTGAAAATTAGATGAAAATAATAATTTCAATTAAAGTAAATCAACATATGTTAAAAACCTATGAATGAAAGCAGAGGAGAATGTGTTATAACTATGTGACAACCAGTGCTGAGGCATTTTGCCAAATATCAGGGACTCATCAGGCTGACTGTCACAAGAAGTAGTC